ACGTCAGTAATGTACGTAATTTTGTTAATTTCATATTTATTATATCTTTACAATACACCATTTGGTAAAATGCATCGTCGGACAGTTTTATACTTACACTTGAATGTTGATAGTTACTTCAGGTCGACTCAATTCATTCTAAAACGAATAAGTAATGTTTTAAAGGCTCCTTCTCTCCTAATTATTAATATTTTAAATAGTAATTTGATTAAAAATTATTAAATAAAATAATAATAATAATTTTATTATATTAATTGATCATTCAATTAAAATTTTATTTTTGATTTTGATTTTTGAGTCGAGACAGAACTGAATGAATTGGCGACGCGATGTGGCGACCCAGTCGTAGCCATGGTAACGTCGCTGGCGACGTGTCCATGGCGTCCCGGTGAGGCAGAGGCCTTAGGGGTATGAAAAATAGATAGTAGCCGATTCTCAGGCCTACTGAATATTCATATGAAATTTGATAAAAATCGGTCAAGCCGTTTCGGAGGAGTATGGTAACTAACATTGTGACACGAGAATTTTATATATTAGATTTGAATCAATTGCTCGAATGTTACATCACAACAACGTGACAAAACATTATTAGTAATGTTTTGTAATTAAATTATAAATGTACTCTAAAGCCTAGTGGCTAGTACGTTGATAATTGAATCGTAAATACGCGCATTTGTTTCTGAATCCAAATTCTCACAGATTTACTTATATACGACTTTAACGTGATCCATATCATTTCACGCACGAACGACGCACGCTAATGTAACCCACTGATCTTTGATCGTGTTTGCTCTTCCCTATTTACTGAAGCGACTTGCTTACATTTATTTTCTTTGGCGTTTGAACTTTGAAAACTTAATTTGCTGAGCTAAAGGCTCTGATTTCAAGTGAGCCTTTTGGACTCGACTGACCTTTTATCTATTTATTTTGTGTCAGTGAGTGCTTGTTTTAATAAAAATTGTATTTAAAGTTCTGCAGACTCGATTCATTGCTTATTTTTCGTTTGGTACGTAAACTAAAACATTTCTAGTTCTTCCAGCAATGCAAGAAGCAAGAAAGGGTATATGTGTAAACCATTTGCATATACTAAGCAATTTGCAACATACTTTAGCTTTTTGCAGCGCGCTGCATTATCAAATAAAAAATTCTAGAAAGCATTGAATTTTTTTTATGTAAAAGCTTGAATTATATTATAGTTATTGTTCAATTTAATGTGGATTATATATTTTATAATAAATTATATTTATGTGTAACGTATATTTAAATTAATTTTATAGGTCCTTAAAATTGCAGAAAACCAACGCTACAGAAGAGAGATATTTATAATCGAAACGATATCGTTTTAATAACTTTATTAGGTATATTTAAATTAGCCAGTATTTACGGTTACATTCCCATGTAAACAGTTCAAACCATAAACTATACTTAATAAATACTTTATTTACATCACAGCTATAAACAAAAACATGTAATAAAAATTCGCTAGACGATGTCTTACCTGACTTACTTTCTTCAAGCAAACAAGAATAATAAAATAAAACCAATATTTAAAATGCAAAGTTTTTTTTTTTTTTTTTTGTTTTTAAGACAATTCACACCAATTGACCTAGCCCCATGCTAAGCTGGTGAAGCTTGTGTTATGGGTACTAGGCAACGGATATACATACATATTATAGATAGATAGACGTATAAATACATATTTAAACACCCAAGACCTAAGCACAACACCAAATGCTCATCACATCGATGTTCGTCTCAGCCGGGGATCGAACCCGGGACCCATGGATTCGCAGTCAGGGGTACTAACCACTAGACCAATGAGTCGTCAATACATAATGTTTGTATTGGTTAAGCAACGTTAAATAAATAGATATAATGGAAACACATAAGTAAACAAGTACAAACTTAGTCTTAAATGTAAGTTCTCATCCCCGGGAGCGTACGATAATTACCGATTTCCCATTGTTTTCAACTAAAGTCTATTAATTTCAAAACTTCGTGGACTATAGAGAAATACGATAACTCGGCTTTGTTTACTGCAATGTATTGCACTTGTAATGCGCATAACTGCTCGTTGGAATAATACAAATATGTAACAAAGTGTGTGTGTGAAAAAATATAATGGTAATAACACACACATATATAACGTCATATCTGTAACGGTATACAAGTGTTAATATGACACTAAATGATACAATACAATAATTCAAGCTCCATACGATTATCACTATTGAGAAAGAACAAAGTCCAAAATCCATTCAAACGCGCCAATTTTTTCTTTATCGCGTACTAAATATCTATATTTATTCGAAATAATTTTGGTTTCATAAATTTTGATGATCTAAATTTTTTTAACTCGTCCGATCGTCACATTTTTTTATTAACTTAGTACTGTTTGGTTTCATTCGGATTGTGTTGGACGCGTTATATTTGTTAGTAGTTACGTCCTTAATATGTTGATTTAAGTAAAGAAGAAACTAACCTTAAAATATAATACTAAAATAATATACATTAAAAAAAAATAACTAACCTTAACATAAACTAAAATATATGAGGAAGAACTGGTTCCGTATTGTTTTAGAAAAAAAGGAAAAAAAGCCCGGGGGCGGAAACCTAACAGATAAAACAATAAACTCAAATAACACAACACTTTATTTAAGTAATTCACACAGAGATGTTTAAGTAATTTTTTACAGAGATTTCCACGTTCCGGGCCCGGGCAGCCGATCCCGAATGCCCTTTCAGGCCAGTGCCCGCCCGTTTTATAGGGGGGGGGTGGGAGGGGGGGAGCCGTGCGTCACTTGTTTACATTGTTCAGAGGCAGGTGGACGATGACTCATACTTGTTTTGCGCCAATAACGCACGTGCCGATGACTCATACTTGTTTTGTTAGTGTTGCATTTTGACTTGCGCCGTATATATTATTAAAAGGAGTCCCTTTAGGCGAGGTTCCGAAGATACTGGCAGCGTTCCCCCTTTGAATCGCTACACTAATTCTTTGTCAAAAAAATTGTGCGTGTACTAGGTGTACACACGTAAGAAGTGAAACTAAGAAATAAGATCTTATTTTTCGAAAAATGATCTACTATATGCAACTTTACAGAAATTCGTTAAATTAGATAAAGTTTAACAAAAGGCTTTTATTATCATAGACATGAATACAAATATTTCATTTTACCTTATTACTACGAAGATTAAATAAATATAGAATTTCATTAATTGTAATAGAATTATTACTATCATTGAAAAACGTGACGATTTGCTACAAAATTTCTCCCATACGTCGATAAAGAAGTTTCATTCCAACGCCGATAAAGAAGTTTGACTTCAAAAAGCAACATGGCGCGTAACCGAAAAATGTGACGCGTAACGAAAAAATGTTACACTAAATTTTTTTCCAACCCCGATAAAGAAGTTTCACTCAATAATTGTATAATTTTGTAGTGAGTTTTTAGGGCGTTTTGTGACTATTGTAAGGCAAGGTATCAGAAGGTTATGAGTCTAACCTCTCTTATTGTAACCAAACTTATGTAATTTCTCCATACCCTTACTGACTGACAATTGTGTGCCTTTCTTCTTGTTAAGGATATATCGAAACGAGATATGTACTCAGGACTTATTATTTTACTATAAAATTGTGTGGCCACCGAACCGTTCTTTGTGGTACAATTACAATAAATAAAGTCTTAACTCTCTGATCGATAAGTACAAAAAGGTTAATAAATAATTGGCAAAAAACAATATATTTTTTACTACCCAGTCTAATGGTGAAGTTGTCTTCTAACATTAGCCTGCAGTAACTCTTCGGCATTCCATCTTTTCACTTCACGGTACACTTCCTTTAGCTTTGTCTTGGATACCATTCTAATCTTTTGTCCACTTCCCTTTTTTACTTCAACCAATATTTAAATATTGTCAAAATTCGTTTATTCCTAATTGCAAGCTTGGGCAATAAACTCCATTTTATATAGATACTTACGAAACGTATATCTTCCCTTCAATCAAGTACAAAGCAAAATGGAATAGCTATATCAATCTTAGTCACTGTCGACTGCCGAATAATAGCGTTTACCGCCACATATTATAGATGACATGAAAGATATACTCGGATTCATTACGCTTAGTGGAACAATAATAGAAATATTTGTAAAGGTCCAAATAATACACCGTTGGTTATATTTTTCTTGACAAGAAGTTGCTCTACTTTTTGATACATTTAATTAGGAGAGAGGGTTTGTTTGAATCGATATTTGGACATCCGTAAAAACCAAAGCCGATTTTTTCTTAGTGGTACATATGCCACTGTGGCATCGGAAAAAATACAAAAAATAACAGAAAGACAATTCAATATATATTTAAATATCTTTGATTTGTCATGTTGTTTTGTCGTTAAGTTTTTTTTTTTACCTTGAAGTAGTTTATCTGTTTAATATAACTAAAATACACGCTCGGCTAATCATTAAAAAAGCAAAGCAACCAACATTTTTAGCTCGAAAACGCTACATGCTCCATCCGAGTTAAAGCAAGCGTAAAATAATTATGGAGAAAAGTAAAATTAGTTCCCATTTTCTGGCTTAGCACTTAATTCTCCTACCTAAGCTTAAATACATTTATGCGGAGAGTGGTTTACCGGGAATTATCCTTATAGTGTTATAACGCATTCTAGATATTAGAGTTTCTTAGAAAAACATAGGTATAGATTTTCTAAGTATTGTGAAATCAAAAGGAAGGAATTAAATGTTTTATAAGATAAAGTTTAAGCATTCGTAAATTAATCTGAAAATCTTATAAATTAATCTTAAATTCTTTTTATACAACACTTAACTGTTAGACACTGCCAGAAGGCTTATCATGCTGAACGTTGGTAACTTTTTTCTTAAGTTTCTGAGTCAAATTGGGTTGGAAATTCAGTGGTACACGGCGAAAAAATCCATAAAAACATGGTAGATATTTTATTTATACTAATATCAACATTTTAAATACAGTAATATTGTTTGAAAATGCCATTAATTATCACAATTCACAACTGTGTAAGTTGAATTTAAAATGACGTCATTTTGCATGCTTTATAGTTTGGTCATAGTTTAACTGTAATCTGTGGTTTATGCGATAAAAATTTTGTTCTGTGCAAAAAACTCGCCATCGTTTGTTTTTCGTTTTATAGTCTCACTTACCATTATTTTATTTATGTCAGGGTAAAAAAAGGCCGGCAACGCGCCCACTAAAATTGGGTTACCATGGGCTGCGAGTAATGTCCTTTTTGTGCGTCCCGTAGGCCCCCCTATTCTATATAAAAAAAGATTTTTTATAATTCGTGCTTGCCTTTAGAAATTCGACCGTGTCCTCCATGTATGGTTTAAGCACTCGCCCGGTACCGCACAACCCTCCCAAAGGCCGAGAACAAATTTAAATTAAATTAAAACTTGCCCTCGAACCGGGAATCGAACCCGGTACCCCTCACCTAGCTGCCACTTAATAAGACCGCTAGGCTATGAGGCCCCTGTGCACAAACATATCTACAATTATACCCGAAGAAAATGGCGTCTCTAAGTCCATGTGTCATAAAAATGACAGCTACAACAGCCGAGAAACGTCATATTTAAATTAACATAAAATTCGTGCTTGCTTTAGAAATTCGACCGTGTCCTCCATGTACGGTTTAAGCACTCGTCCGGTACCGCACAACCGTCTCAAAGGCCGAGAACAAATTTAAATTAAATTAAAACTTGCCCTCGAACCGGGAATCGAACCCGGTACCTCTCACCTGGCTGCCACTAAATAAGACCGCTAGGCTATGAGGCCCCTGAGTTTGCACTTGTCTTTGAATCATGAACCAAGTGCCAGATAGTCCGTATGTCAAATGTCATCGCATTAGACAGCTAGTCTTTTAACAGTTAACGGTTTTTGCAACTTTGACTTGTCTCTTAATCTTAATAAACGTTAAACAAGTGACAACTATTTATTAAATAAACATAATTTTTGTTACTCAATAGATAGGCCTCCTATCGGTGGTAATACCTCCCGATATAGCAGACAGCGAGGGTTCAGAAGCCAGTGCTGTTGAGGGAGGATCAGTGGAACTAAAGTGTCAAGCTAATGGTGTACCTGAACCTTCTACAGCGTGGAAGCGAGAGGGCGGACGAAATATCATCTTCCGAGATGAAAATGGGAATGAAGAGAAAGGTATGGAGTATTTAAGGTATTTCATTTAGGCTAATTCATTACTAGTTATTAGTAGTACTAGTTAGTATTACTTAATGACGCTAGTTTGTTGGTGTTTGGTGTTAAAGTAAAATATTACGTAATTATTATTAATTCGACGTTTCGTCTCGACTCATAATTGGTATCAAATAGATCAGATTCAGATTCAGATCTGGGCCTCAGATATATCTTTCGTGTTTATGTTTTTTCTTATAGGCAAGTAGTTTATCAGCCCGTGCCTATGCCCGATACACGTTGTCAACTTTTTAGGTCTAATTGATATATTTTTTACAAAATATGAATCCTACTGCGCATCGCGTAAAAAATGCCCAGAATAGCAAAAGGACATCGTACATATTAAAAACAACAAAAAATATCGATGCTTATCAGGCCTCGGAAGAATAAAACGTCTATAGTATAGTATATAGCTTATACCATTGTTTACTAGACAAAGTTTAAGAGTTTTTATATATAATACATAACTATAAACAAAGTCGCAATCCGCGGCAGACTTAGTAAATTATACCTTCTGTTTCCACGAAGTCACGCGGGATATTACTAGTTAATTACAACTAAACACATAAGAAGCTTTGCAAAGTGGCGTTATAAACATAAGCCCAATTGGACCAGTACAGTTGCAAGTTCGTAACTCCTTTAATGCGGGTTCGAAATTCAAAACGTAAATAAATTCTACAACTATTAATAGTTAGGTCAATTATAATTACAAAGAATTTTTTACAACTGTCTAAATAATTATATAAACAAGCATTATTTTTTCGCAAATGTAACTTTAATGCCATGATTTGAGAGGTTTAGACGTGCTAATAATATAAATTCTTTCTAATTATCAAATATTCCCCCAAATTTTGTTATAATAAACTTTATAATAGGTGAATAATAGCAGTGTCCTAGGCTTCAGCGTGCGACTCTCATCCCTGAGGTCGTAGGTTCGATCCCCGTCTGTGCACCATTGGACTTTCTTTCTATGTGCACCATTGGACTTTCTTTCTATGTGCGCATTTGACATTCGCTCGAACGGTGAAGAAAAACATCGCGAGGAAACCCGCTTACCTTAGATCCAAAAAGGCGTGTGTCAGGCACAGGAGACCTATTAGATTAACAAATGATCATGAAACAGATACAGAAATCTTAGGCCCAGACATAAAAAGGTTGTATTTATTTATATGTGTATAAAATTCGTTTCTCAGACCTCATTGTCAGGCAATTAACATTTCTAAAAATAACATTGCTCATTAATACTGATTCAGAAATCTAAAAACAAAGTCTTTATGATGTATGAGCGCAACAGGATTATTATTAATTGAAAACGAAAGCTATGTCGTGTTACGTATTTTAAAAGCTATCGAAACATTTCTCACATGAAATATGTTTCGCTGGGCAACTGTGAGTAGTATTAAATCAACGTATTACCTATTTTTATAGAGAAAATGCGACCAAAGTATGGCATACACGTTCCATTCAATAAATCATTCCTGTCTTTGCTTCTCTTACGAAATTCTTATTCAATTTCATTGCGAACGATAATAATAGTCGTTCATATTAAAAGCAGGGCATAAAACGCCGATTTTCCTTTGAATTCTATTCACATTGAGGATCCTACTAAGTGGTAAAAAAGAAACAAGACTAATTTTACATTCAAAGCCCGCTTGGAGCGGGCGCAGGTGGCGGCTCGGTTAAAACATTGGAGTTTTATGGGATTTATTAAGATATCGCTTAAGATATTGGAACGAATATCTGAAATATAAAATAAATGTAGCAGTGAACATCTAACTCTTTTATAACAATCAAGGAAGTCTGAATATTTTAACCAAACTGCTCATTAATCTAGCAATACGTTTTATGAATAATTTGTTATGGAAGAGCTGGGAACCCTGATACAGGTATTTTTTTACTTAAACGACTTCCCAAATTTTACACGTTGTAATGAATATGTACTTATAATGAATAAACACATTTTTATTATAACCAATACCAGTTCGCTTACCAAATTCGGATTATATTTCTCCAAATTTTTATTATCAGAACCTAGGGTCAACATAGGACAACCTGAAAAGTTCCTTTCAACTCAACGAAACAATTTTCAAATCCGTTCTGATGATTTCGAGTAATCGTACAAAATAAAAAACAAATTGTTTCGAAAAATTTAAAAACTCCCTTTATTAAAGTTGCCTTAAACCTCGCAGTGCCTCGTTGCCTAGTCTCAATAGAATATTTCAGTAGTAGTTATCAATTTTCAGTTCTCTCTGAACAGTGTCATATTAAATAATCCCCTCAAAACGGAACCAAGTGTAGGTAAATGCCATCTAAATATATACATTCGAATTTCAAAACTAATATTTTTAATAAGGCTTGCTGAATCTCAAACTGAAACATTTCAAAACAAAAGAAACTTTTATATCAAAATTTTTAATTTACAAAAGTGGTCGTAAACTGATTCATTTCCTTTCAGCCCGTTTTGAAAGAACTCGATTACTCTTTAAACAATATGACGTGGCAATCCGAGATTCGGTCAGGAAATTAAATAAATGAAAAGCACAAATTTATCTTATAAAAGGCAATGGGTAGGTTTTAACATATGCATAATCGTTTGTAATTCCGTATCTAAGCTTAATGTTGTTTTAAGGGACTAGCCCTTAGTGGGTATTAAAGGTTTTACTATACGAATTTGACCCGTTTTGTTTAAGCCATTAAGCGTAAACAAAAGAAGGTCGTATAGTGGTTGAGCCCTGCCTTTTGTTTAATGTCTACAACCGATGATGCTATTAGTAATTATATTTTGGGTCGCAATAACACATAGTAATTTAGATTAATCAGAACCTAATTATCCTTGCACTGCGTATGTTTGAGGTTGACTATATTCCTATTAATATCTTGTATACAAGTGTTTTTACACCACTGACTATGGTCATTTCGTTCTTGAAAGGAATGTAGCTCTAAAATTATATTTTCAATTTTATTATATGGTTTTTGTTTTACTTTCGGTATTGGTGTCTTTTCTGTTAAATATCTCTTTATATCCGGTATATTGCTTGCCTTGGTTTTCATAATAGTTGGGTGATTAAATACGTTAAAACATATCAGCAAAGATTAATTGTAAATAGTCAAATGCGCTATTGACGATATGTACGCTGTTAAATTTTCTTTTTATATACGAATGGGTATTTTAGTTTAGAAATAGTTTTTTTAGTATTCGTTTAAAGTTTACCGTCAATAAGTAAATAAAGCAATTATTCAAAGATCTTCCTACAAAATAACAAGGCAATGTCACAAATTCGTAATATAATCAAGCAGGCGAGTGTGTGATTAGTTAATTAGTTATCTCGTGACGGGCGAAGGCTGTACCAGAGTTAATTAAGTCATTACAAAACATCGCTTAAGATCACTAAGTTGCTTTAAACTTTATTCATACTGAATTTGTATGAACGAGAGAGTTTCTTCCCTTGTTGACATTTTGTTACATGGAAAATTAACAGATTTGTAATGTTTGTTTAAATTTTGTAATATATTTCATATGCGTATATATTTTAATGGAAAGAAAAGATTAAATTGTTTTAGTAGCATTAAAATGCAGAAGTAGAAACAATATTTAATTTTTAACGTTATTTTTACATATTATTCATTTGTGATGAAAGCTATTTGATATTATAAATAGTTCCGATGCTTCATTTCACTAAAAGTTCTACTTGAAGTAATATGGTCCTTATCTATGTATTTAATATTTCTATGGTGTTTTAAATCTAACCATGTCTCTTTGACATTCACTTTTTTTAAAGAAATATTTCGAAGAATATTTCCAAAACCAATAACAAATTGTTAATTAAACAGATTGCATATCTAATATATAAAATTCTCGTGTCACAGTTTTCGTTGCCATACTCCTCCGAAACGGCTTGACCGATTCTCATGAAATTTTTTGTGCTTATCCGGTATCTATGAGAATCGGCCAACATCTATTTTTCATCCCCCCTAAATGTTAGGGGTAGTACAACCCCTAAAATTTTTATTTTATTTTTAAGACAAAATTTTTAATTTCTATTTTTTATGATACAGCATTAAAAAATACATACAATCCCTAATTTTCATCCCTCTACGATCAACCCGTATTTTTATTATAAATGATATACATGGCAAAACGACGTTTGCCGGATCAGCTAGTAAAATATAAAATAAAATCCTCAGAACTGGGAAATCGAAATTCCATTCCATTCGTATATTTAATCGTTGACAAAGTATTTCAAAGAAAAGCGGAGTTTCATAATTGAATCGGGAAACAATTAGCTTGGGCATAATAACATGAAATTGAGGGAGTGAGTAACAAGTTGCCAACGACACAGCCCAACTTTATATGCCGTTAATAAAACACAATTTCATACAGGCCCGGATATTGTTCGAGCTAGGGCGAGTGTACATGTTTTATGGCCGAATAATTGTTTATAAGGAACGCTTTTGACCACTTGAAAACTTACTTGTGTTTTATAGCTTTCCAGCTAGTTACGAGATCGTTTGAAATTGTATTTCTTAATTGTACGATTGTTGATTTTCATCTGCACATATTTGTATTGTTTTCCTAAATCTTTTATATGGGAGTTATTTGTGACTGCAAGTTGTTTCACATTAGCTTGCGACTAATTGCCGGGATGATGCTGTGATTCCGGGATATTTGTTAGACTTATAATTTTATTTAATAACTGAATATACACTTTACTAAGTTAATTTAATAACAATAATAAGGTAGGTTTTTTTTCATATATCAAGTGATAATATAAGTCAATGACGAATCTAGTTTCATACTTTCTACTACTGATATCTTTGATTAACTTTAATTATAATTAATTTGTTAATGTTAAGTTATAAAATAATTTGAGAATTGACTGGGTGATATGATTGATAATGTAACTACTATAAAATTCTACCTTTTAATTATGTAAGATAAATTTGTACGCCATTATGTGAGTCAGAATGTGCGATGTATAGATTGTACCACCATAATATTTTTAAACCATATTCTTGCAAATAAATTATTATTATTAACAATAGGTGAGTGAAATCTCTCCTTTATACAGTATTTAAGTTTGCCCTTGAGTTTAAGGATCGGAGGTCGTATACCATAATAAAGTTATAAATTGTTTCCATTTAAATTTAATTTGACAGCTAACGTTAAACGACGGATTGGCGCAATGTTTTGATTAAAGCGTGCCAAGATTAGCGATCCAGAGTTAATTAAGGAGTTAAGTTTAGTTTTGACGGGGATTAGCATGGTCCATGGACAATTTCAATGCATTATTAGTTTAAATTTAACACATATGGTTTATTGCGTTTGCGGTGTTTAGTTTCAGACAGTTTAGAAATTATATCGTGGTTAAAACGATTTATTTCTAATAGTTTAGGTCCGATGTTCTGAGTTACATTATATAACCGCTGTGTGAAGTTTATAGACTTTAAGGGTGAAATTCAGAAACAATTCTTAGGAACTTACTCATACAACACAACAAAAACATTACTCTTGTTGGTCAAAATTAAATACTTTTGTTAAATAATATATTTCTTTGACTATCCCCGACTATATTGTGGTCGGAGGTATTAAGTAACAGCATTAGCAAAACAGCATTTGTAACTAGTTAACTTATTTCTGTTAACAACTTTTTGTATTACAGCAAATGTTAGGTGTATCCTAATTTTTGTTTAACATTTCTTTGAAGTTTGTTACTGTTGTTTTTATTTCTATAATTTGTTCGGTGTTAAAGGCACGAAATCATTCGTAGCCATACATTAGACAGTCGGTCAGGACGTTTTTAACATATAGGACATATTGCGCTAAGACTCCAAATAAAATCTTTAAATCATTGTTAAAGTAAAACTACGTTGTAACGTCTTTCGTATATAATATGACCTTAGTAACGGTTGTTATTTATATGTCGATGCAGTTACTCTTGCGAAAACTCTTGAATAAATCTGTCTAAATAAATATTGTTTGCGATGTTATAAATTATTTCTTTATTGTTTATGATCTTATTTTCCCTCCTTAATGCCTCCAATCGACAATTATACTGCACAGTAAAAATATCCCACTTCAACTATTCTTACTGGATATAATGAATATGTTTTAAGGCGAATTTTTCACTTCAAACGAAAATAAGCCTATGATACCAAGCACTTAATTTGAAGTCAAAAGAAACGGTAATGACCTAATGAACTTCTCCCCAAATAGAGTTGTGAAATAAATTACATGTAAAAGTCGTCGAAATTCTCTTCACTTATATCTGAACACATTAAACATTTCTTCAAACACATTTTTAATAAAAAACGTAAACAGTAGTTTTCCAACGCTTTAAGCTAATTATGCTTTAGTCTCAAATTTATTTACGCTTCGTTACAAGAAATACAGCATGATTGAATAATAAGGAGGGCAACTGGCGGCTTTATTGCTTTCGAGCGATTTCTTCCTTCCAACCACTTTAAGGAGATTTTTAACTAAATAAGATGAGTAAGAAGTGCAAAGCCACTAAAATGTACACTTACTTAGAATGGAACAATTATATGTTACTTTAATATTTTTGAAGTTATACTTCTTTAGGCGCGTTATGAAAAATTTATGAGAGTGAAATTTTACGAAGCGCGCACCGTGACACAAAATTATCTGTATGGGCGCCGAGCGTGCGCGAGCGAGATGGGAATAAGACAATCTACAAGTAAAAAGAAATAGAATATGCGTGACGTTAGCAGCTATGCCAAGAATATTGAATGACCATAATGACATTTGTAGTACCTTTTAAACAAATAAAGGAGTTTTAATTATTTTTCAAAGAAATTTAGCAATGCTTTTTCACAAAGACCTATTGTTACTTAGTTAAAAGGTTATGAAATATACCTAGTCTTTAAATTGAATTAATAATATAATAATAAATAATAATAATTATTATTAATATTAATTAATAATTGAATAATATACTAAATATTAAATATTGTTAAATTACTAACGCTAAATATTTATTACTAATTATTTAATATTAAAAAAAAATAAAGAAAGCCAAAGAAGTATAACTTCTTACGCGCGTACATAAGTACACGCACCATTTTTTTATATGGGTTTAATCGGTTTGGGTCTTAGACATGCCGATTTTCTCGCGATGTTTGGTTTTACAATACTTAAGTACACACAAAAGCCTCGTGCCTAACGCTGCAATAAAAAAATATAGCAACTGTAGTCTGACAAAAAAATACAAGTTTACATTTCGAACAATAACGAATTCTTAATAGGGCTAATGAGCAACGCATTTGTCACAATGTAGTGTCGTTCCAAGTTATGATATGGCTCTTATAACAGAATCCCGGACACTGATAGCCTACACATGGTGGACATTGGTTTGGCAACGCAACGTACCTTTGTTGGCGATTTTGCCAACGCGGTTTTTCATTTATGGCATGGCAATAAATACAACGCGATGCTCCGTTCGCACATTTATCAAACTTTTATTTATAAACTTACAATTTAAGTGCCTGTGAAATAAAACGACTTGAAAATACGAAGCCGTTTAAGCGACACTAAAGGCCGTTATGTGTCACAACGTCACATTATCATTATGTAGAGGCCTTAAATATTTATATTATGTATGAAAATACTTTTATCTAATCTCGAATCTAATTTTTTGAATTTCGAACGTTATTATAAAATACAGTACACAGAATATTGAAACACAAAACATAATTTTTAAATCAAAGCTTGTTACGAAGCTCATCAAAGAGTTACTATTATTTTGGAGGTTTGACATTTAGTAACAGGCTGTAATCTATGGCGTATGTATGCAAGTTTGATATCACCCGTTCAATATTAGTCAAAAAATAATAGTTTGGACTATACTTGGAATATGGGCCTTTTTTTATGACGTTTTACCCAATTCGGATCTTAATCGAGCCTCTAAAAGTATTATGAGTAGGTATTTTTGTAACATATTTTGAAAACATAACATTTGAGTGATATTTACAGTGGTGGAAAGTTACGTGGGTCCAAGCCTGTTACTGAAGGGGCTAAGACGAGCTGACATGGGCACTTATTGGTGTATAGCGTCGAATGGGGTGCCGCCCAGGAAAAGCAGGAAATATGAGGTCATTGTACTTTGTGAGTATCCGGTGTTGGTTTGAATTGTGTTCTATAGAAAATTCTGTGATATATGAAGAATAGGTTGTGTATATGAGTCCTTCGATTTTATATTTAAAACCAATACGATTATATTGTCCTGTCGAATTCGAATTTGATTTGTATTAATATAAAAAAGCAAAAGGACTCAATTTCATAGTATATTGACACTAAACAGTAAATTAACAATATAACGGACTTTTGCCAAGAATTATCTTAATATATATAAATCACGTGTCACGTTGTTTGTCCGGGATGGACTCCTAAACTACTTAACCGATTTTAAATTAAATTTGCACACCGTGTGCAGTTTGATCCAACTTAAAAGATAGGATAGCTTACATCATAATTTATAGCCGCAATATTATTTTATTGAAAATTATTTGTATATTATTTGACACAATTCTAACAGATGGCGCTGTGTTGAAAGTACCAACGTTTCACATAAGCTATAATTTAATGGCATTTCCACCAAAAAGCATGGTGGTCCCCATGACTGGTGTTCTCCTACCGTTTCCCTTGAATAGTTCGCTACTATGTAATATAACAAAAACATTAGCCACAGCAACGCTTGGCCGGTCTGCTAGTAGATATATAAAAATTATATTACCGAAATTTACATATAATTCAGACCAAAGAATTTTCCTTAATTAAAATCAATCCCAGTCTAACGTTTTAATACCAATAGAAGGAATTTTTAATTTGATATCTAAAAATGTAAAATCACAATTCTACAAAGAGAAACTTATGATGACAATTAACATAAAAAGTTACGAGGCTTCTAATTGCCTAGAAATTATAGGCTATTAAACGGGATATTGCTCTTTTATTTTGTGGGGTAAGTGGTCGTAGTGTTAGGTTTCTAATTGTTAAATGAAGCCGTCGTTTCGGATATTAAAGCGTGTTATTACTGACAGGCGAGACCATAGTGTAAAATAAATAACTAAAAAAGAAATATTACCAAAACAAAACATGTTTAAAATTTGTTACCACTTTTTTAACTACTATCATTTAAAGTCTTATGAATTCTTTATTAATCTACATACGTATAATTTGTATTTACAATTTTCTTAACCTAAAAATAGTTTAAAAGTACATAATTTAAAAAAAAGTTATGTCCCTGTGGCAGTGTACCTTTAACGCTGGCAACATTTCCTCGCTGTATTGCGATACTTATTCGTTGAGCCAGGAAAGCACCAGCTCTGTGGTCACCAGTATTTTGCTTTTTTAATTATGAAGAGATAAATTGGTTTACGAATAAAAGGTCGCCTTACATATTTTCCTTTACCTCCTTCGTAATACAGTGGAATCTCTCTAACTCGAACCTCGTTAAGTCGAAATCCTCAGTAAGTCGAAAAAAATTGCCATTCCCTGCCATTCCTAAATACGCGGTATCTCGAATTATTTAGACTTTGATACTCGAACAAAATGTTATTTCGCTACGAAGTATTGATAATACGTAATTTTTACTCTTTAATTCGAATTTCAAAAAGGAGACTTTGTAAGTCGTAGAAAGTAAAATTTTGACGTCTTACTTGGAATTCCCCGAAATAATAGCAATAAAATTCAAAACGAATGTCGGGTTCGGGGCTTCTAATCTATTGTTTTAGTCTTGTACTCGTGCAAATAATGAATACATCCATTGCATACAATCGAACAATACACTTAGAATTCGCGCCTCTGTAAGTCGAAATTTCAGCAGTTAAATGAATCTCGAAGTTCTTGTTAAGTCGAAAACTCGTTAACTCGATTTTTTGTATTTCCCTTGACATTAGAGTTATAGAGATTCCACTGTAATTTCCTCTCCTGTCTATTCTCGAGTTAGTAAATTAACCAAACTGAACCAAATTAGGTAACGATTAATTCTTGGCGTGTCTACAGTTCCGCCGCTGGTTCGACCTGCAACTGTGGTCGTGTGGCGAATGGTGGACATGCAAGTAACATTACAATGCTACGTCGAGGCATCGCCTAAATCCCTGGCAACATGGCAACGTGGGAAATCACATACAGGTACTCATGAATTTTAAATTAACCGCATGAATATTTAAGCGATTGTTGACAATATTTAATTGTTTGTATAGTTGTTATCACGCGCCTCAGTGATTCCTTTTGTTATACAAATTATTGTTTTTGCAGTCTAGATTAAATTTTGCACGGAAGATTTGCATAATATGGTTTGTGGATACAGATTCTTGCGTCTAATTGACTGTAGACTGACATAGTTACAGTTGTACGTCCAACGTGGTGCGGCAGTCAAATTCCATTATGATGGAGGTCCTGTGTTTAATTCCAGGCAAAAAAAATCAAATTGGGAGGTTAATGACTCTAAATAAAATGATTCAGACGTCTGGAAATGACAAATACACAAATGTGTATTGGTCTGAAATTAGGTAGTGGCTAAGTATTTGGGGTAGTAATAAATACACTAAGCCCGTTCAAATGCGAATCAATAACAGAGTCGATTGTATATCTATAAATTATATGCGCTCTTTAGGCAATTAATAATACATGTATATTAATTTTTAATTCACAGGTGCGAAGCTACTGAACAGCTCGAAATATATCATATCTGAAGACAATAAATATAACAATCAGAATAAGTTCGCAGTTCGGATGAACTTGACAATAAATCGCTTGAAAAGGAACGATTTTGGTGACTACACTTGCTCCGCTGTGAATGCTTATGGAAGAGCTAATGCTACGATCACCTTGAAAGGTACGTGTTGCTTTCAAAATGTCTTAAAAGAAATTTATACATATTAATTTCGTCTTTGGTTCAAGTGAGACTTTATTAAATACAATAAAACTTCTTTTAAAAAATAATAGAAGATGAAAATAAAGAATGAATTATAATTGTCGTCATTTTGAAATAAAATATGTATTGTGCTTTTGTTGGTCTAGTTGGCCTAGTGCCTTAAGCCGTGTGACTCTCATCCCTGAGGTCGTTGTTTCAATCCCCGGCTGTGCACTAATAATAAAATAAAACTTATTTATATGTGCGCATTTAACGTTCGCTCGAACGGTGAAGGAAAACATCGTGAGGAAACCGGCTTGCCTTAGACCCAAAAAGTCGACGGCGTGTATCAGGCACAGAAAGCTGATTGCCTTCTTGTTTTAGATTGATAAATGCTCATAAAACAGGTACATAAATCTGAGGACCAGACCTAAAAAGATCATAGCACCACTGATTAATTTATTTATTGTACTTTTCTAGTTAATTTATCTAAATGTGTCATTTCGATTTTTATAACGCCGGTTTACATAACATTTGTATTAATCATTAAATATACATTTCAGAAACGCCACAGAAAACCACGACAACTACGACGACGACTACAACAACTACAACAACACAGCGACCAACAACAACAATACGAACAACGACCCGCCCGCCGAAACGACACCTCAAAAAACAACAAAATCAAAACGCGTTGGATATGGAAAATAATCACGTAGGCGTAAACGCACTAAACTTTTACAACATAAACATGTACGGAACACCGAACAGTAGCCAATCTCATCATAATGAATACAGCCAAAGAGTTGAACGACAAAAAGTTCGACCGTCAGGCCCACCAAGGCATTACGTAGTGTATAACAATGGTATACGTCTTGTATACAAATATATATTTATATTCGTCAATTTATTATTGATTGTATAATTATACACTATTAGTTTAGTAAAACGATGGCTGTTAAAATTTTGAGCATTGTTGTAATTCAATGTTATTGTTACAATGTAACGAATTCTTTAGATTATTGAAATTAGATGTGGTGTAACAATAATTTATTGTAGCTGGTTTTTAAAACATATAAAGTTTTGTATACATTTGACCAGAAAATTTAATGGAAATTAAAATGTTTTGTTTGCATCTTAAGGAAAGATTGCAAACTTAAGGCATATAATTCAAAATATTGTAATACTTGTACTTTAAATATGCATAAATATATCATTATTGGCATATCATTATGCTGAAATATGCAATATAATTGAAATTGTTCGTGAATTTTTAAAAATGTTTAGATACAGATTTAAAACTGTTCATTAAGGCTAGACTCAGAGTCGAGACTTAGCGCTAAGTACCACTCCCATATGTGAAATCCAATAAGTTTTTGACACGGAAATCATACCTAGCGCTGAGTTTTGACTCTGAGTGACTATTAGCCATCTTTATTATCTTAATTTCGTAATAAATCTTTTAATTATTTATATGTCTTAGAGCTCAAAATAAGATTTTACGATTACTTCCTCATTACATACTTAACTAATTTTACACCTTAAAGACAATAAAATGTGTGTCTGTGTGTATGTACCTTTGATTATGCAAATACTGTTTCAAGTCTGCGGATATAATTGAAGAGTCAAATAATTTGGCTCCAATCCGAAATAACCCCATTTAATTTATAATCTGTTGTAAGTAAATAAACTGTAAACATGATCTTATCAGCGCTTCGAAGTCGCGTTTCTAATGATAATAAAATATCCATTTTTAAGACAATAAATCATATAATATTAAGTTCTATAACACAACACATGATTGGAGTCCGCGAATTGATTCCGATAAATAAAGAATGTAGTGTTAGAATATAATATATTTTGTATATTATATGTTACGCAAAGACAATAATAGTGACCAACAATAAATATGGAATGATATATTTGTATAACTTGTAATTTAGATTAAACTTTGGGCCTGTAAGAGGTCTATATAAGTAATTGTTCTTAATTAATTGTCTACTTTAGGATGTTATCTCATAATACCTAAGGACAATATTTAGCGCATTTTTAAGTGATTTTAGTGTCTATAATCAACAGTAACGAATATAAAACGTCTAATATAAAATGTTTGTTATAGACATAATGTAATGCTCTTACGATTTCGTTTAAATTAATGAAAATTATGCATGTACATTTTTATATGAAAATTTATTCTTAATTATAATTAGAATACTATCATATTTGATTATAAAATAATAAATTTGTCTTCCGCGTAGAGGTAATTTAATTCGGCATTTACATTTTTGATAATTTTTAATAAAGTTTATTTTACTCTTATTAGATATAGGATAATGTTAAGTCTTGGAAGAATTTATTTTAGGTGTAGGTTCGACCCTTTATGGACTCAACGACTATTCAGACATTTCACTGATATATCATTAAAAATATGACGAATTTCCTATGAAGATTCCGATCTATTACGTACAAAGAGACGACTATTAAGTGACGAATCACTGTGTATCGGATCTTTTAAGCCTTTGGATTATTTAAGCAAATAAAAAGCATGTGTAACATCATAAGAACCGTGTGTTTAATAACCTAAGATTATCATCGATATGCAGTTCTACGAGGATGTCATCCAGAGCCGTAGAACTAACATTGTTTAACAAATATTGTATCTCAATAGACTTTATATTTGTTGGGATAAGGGTCTACTATTGTGTGAATTTATTTTATGTATATTTTCTGAAATGAATATTCAAATATTTAAATTATGTATTTAGAAACAGGTAACAGATCTAAAATCATAAAATAAACTTTTTTATACTTTCAATTTTTATACTTTCATGTACGAAGCATATGTGTCTGCCAAAAATATATCGTATGTCACTGATACAATAATATAACGTACAGATTTTGAACTGTCAAATGTTTATCTTTCAAATTCAAATTCAAATTCAAAAATCATTTATTCACGTAGGTAACACAATGTACACTTGTGATTCGTCATTAAAGAAATAAATATTAATGCTTCTAATTTTACATTTACTGCCAGTTCTCAAATCAAGGGCGTAGAACGGAAGAGAAGAACTGGCAATAAACTCTCCGCCACTCTTTTTAATCGCCATGTTTTTTTTTTTTTTACACAACGTTTGTAAGGAGCTGCAACCATTACACCATGTTCCACATGACATTTTAAGTAATTAATAATAATAACATAAATAAAAACAAAGACTTGTCCCCTATCAGCAGGAGGCATGGTGAAATAGGAGCACGCACTTACTTTCTGACCGTGACTAGATTACGTCTTGACATACGTTTTGGAATCATTTATACAATCACAATCATTTACGTAGATTTATTTCACTGTCGTATATTTCATGTAATACAAAAAAAAATTCAATAATTACTTGTACATATCTATTTTGATTACCAAGATTATATAACTCTGGTTTACATTATCGATTTGAAAAAATATTTCCTTATATTTAGCTGTTTTTTTTAAACAATACTCTTGTATTTTAACTATAATGGTAGTGGTTAAGTTGTTAAGTGACAATAATATCCGATAATAAAATAAATAACATTGTAAATAATGTATTGACAATATAAGCTTATTTATTAGCATAACCGTATTTTATCAATGTTAAAAGTAAGATGTTGATATCATTTTAACATTATTTTAAAATAAAATATATACTGAAACTGTGTTGTTATTTTACTATAATTTCAGAAATAATAATAAATTATAAACTTTAATTATAACAAAATTGATCCAACTCTTATCCTAGGGAGAGTTCTTCCGTGGTAGTTGGTGCATGTTTAAATGACGGAGAAGTTAAAATTATGGATGGATTGAATAAGTCTATTTACGCCCGAACCCAATTATCAATCCACAATCTGAGAGCAGACGGTGACATTCGATCGATCTCCTATCTGCATCCCAATAACCAAACCCTACGAAGACAATCCATTTTTGCCGACGGATAAAATACTCTTTGTCGTTCCATTTTACCGAGTTTTCACTCATATTTGATAATCAATGTAAATAAAACCGTACAAATAACATTAAAATATACAATATGTGTATGTTTAAAACAACACACATGTGTAGGTTTAACACACAGTTTTTTTTAATTATTTAAAAAAAACTGGTGTAAGTAAAAATCTGTTAAAATAATTAACTGTTGAAATCGAGCTTTCGTCAACTGTCATTTTCATTCTATCCACAGACACTGATATGACCTCCCATGGATTCCTTGTTGATGTATCCACAGATGGCTATTACAATCCGTCGATTGGTTATTGGCACACTTGTTACAACATTTGGATTAAGATTACTATCTAGGATGGTGGATTATGGGATTAAGATAGGTTATTGGGTTCAGGCGTCAATCGGTAAGATAATATCTTTATAGCCCGGTAACGCACTAAAACCTTATGGCGGAGTTTGTATTACTTAACGAGTTTGTTTTTCCCATTTATCTATAGTTCCACTACTGAAAAAATATGGACACCTTCCATATTCCATCGAACCAACAATAATATCGTTTTATTTCACGTCATTGACATCTACGTACAGCGTTACTTATACGAGCTAATTGTGCAAATAAGTCAGACTGACATATAGACTAATTTACTTTTCTAATAGGCTAACATTTTCATAACGTTTTAACAATGAATATTATCATACTTTTTAATTTTTGAACCAACTTGATATATGTGATGTATGTCTAGAAACGGAATGAGTTAATAAGCCCACATCTATCTGTGCTCCATTTGGTATTATTATTAATAGTTGCTATATTTTAGCAACAAGAGATTTTTCTATGGTAAATATCGGTATTTTCGTAAACTTATTATAAACCTTCAATAGTAAATAGACCCTTGCTAAGTGTCTTACTAGTAATACGGAAAGAACTTATAATAGCTACTTAAGACTTGAATTATTTTTAACTACAGTACGTACATATATTCTCGCATTCTATGCAAATCTCGATTAATATTCATCCATAAGCATACCGTCAGGATATTTCTGTAATATTCTTATAATAATAATAAAAATAATTGCCTTTATTGCTGTTAAATACTTATCCTAGTACGTACAAATGTGAAGTAATAAACACTAATAATTAATCGGCAAGCCGGTTAATTTCAGTTTTACAGTTTATCCTTGGACATAGGCCTCCTCTAAGAGCTTCCACTCTTCTCGGTGTCTAGCTTTACGTAGCATATGCTAGCTGCTCTACTTATATCATCTTCCAATCCTTTTATGCTATGTTCCTATATTTGTAAGTTAACCATTAGAGTCCATTAGTAACGACTTTTTTGTCTTAATTGTATACATTGTTTACGTCTTTTTTATAAATGGACTCCATCACTGTAGTCCGTAGTTCTTGCTGATCACTCTGTAGTGCCAGTTGTGGCTGATATAATATACAATTTTGTTTTGTATAAAAGTAATAAACATTTATAACATATACTTACTCGACTTTCTAGCGTATTTATTTCAAGGCCCCGTTTGAACCCCGAACCATTGCAATTGTAAATATTTTACATAGCTAATCAATGAATACTATATTATTGTATCTAATTTGTTAGAAAACATATTTAATAATACTAATTTATTCAATTTGTTAGTCAAAAGTATGAATAAATATCCCTTTGTTTGTTTAGTAAACCTTTTTAAAAAAGCGGGTTTCGAAGTGTTAACGTTGACATTTTATTTATGGAACTCATATCTTTGGCCACCCATTTTTGAAATATTCAGAAACTTTGATCTTGACCCCTTCATTGTTGACATCCACAGATGCCGCACTGCACAATTTGGATCAATCAATCAATCGTTTAAAAATCATTTATTCATATTAGTAACACAATGTACACTTATGAACGTCAAAAAAGAAATATACATTAAATGCTTGTAATTTTACATTTACTGCC